GGGGGGGGGGGGGGGGGGGGGGGGGGGGGGGGGGGGGGGGGGGGGGGGGGGGGGGGGGTCAATTTTTCCTCAACTTCCATCAAAAAGAAACTTCCTGTTTCTCTACCTCATTACTGGTGGATCATTGCTAGTGTTGCTGTCTCTTCTGTGATGTAATTACACCTTGGATCTATCGATGCAGCCATCATCACTCTCTGCAATTTGCAGTAAGAACACCTTGGACACATCCATGCAGCCAGGAACATTCACTGCGATTTACGCTTCTAGCATTGGCTCCAGCACGATCCTCCTCTGGCTTCTCTACCTCTTCCCTCTTCTTGTCCTCCGAGTCGTGCTTGCCCGCTTGGCCTGTTGGGTTTGTTGAGACTGACACATAGTGATTACATTCAACAGCGGGGTGAGGGTTTGGGCCCCTCTCCGCCACCTTGCTGGCCCCACATACATTGTATTACGTTCTTTTCAGTCGGCACTTTGGGCAGCCACACTTATCTCCAATGGGCGGGCTGTGCACTGTTTGCAGTCACCTCTTTTTTCCTTTCTTTCTTTCTTTCTTTTTATTTGGGTCCCTGCTGCAGTTTGGCATTCACTGTCAGTCATTTCATTGCACTCTCCATCAGTCATTTCATCACATAACCTGCCCAGCCAGTAGTTCCCCTCTGCAACAGTCCCAAAGTTGCGCGAGGCTTTGCCTTGCTGCTCACAAAATTTGTAAAATGACGAGTGTATCTTTGGCCAGTACGGGGAAAGATGCAGTTGCCATTTACACGGCGGGCAAGTACCAAAGCGAGGCTTGTCAGAGTTGCATCCGTCAACGTTGGCCTCCTGCAATATGGGTACAAAAATTTGAAACGGGCTTTGGGTATGGCCAGGTACACAAAAGAAGAGAACTTGCGGTTGCGTCCAGGCGGGTGCGGGTGCGCAAAGGTCGAACAGGATTGCTATATGAGAGAACAAAAAATAGAAAGCGACGGCCTGTTCAATGTTGAACTACTTATTTGATTACTTGCTTCCCGATCAGTTGGTTGGATTTCTGACAAGGCTGGTCTTCTGTCCCTTAGCTGGTAAGACTTTGGGGGGGGGGGGACAGTGTAGTTGGCCTCCTCCTCCTGTAGCGCGGGGCAGGTCCTGGTTAGTAGATTTAAGTTTTAAACCGCTAGGCAGTACACGGCCCCAGCTTGCTGAAACGCGGCCGTCGATTAAAAAAATCGGCGGTCTGCGTCGCCTACCGGATTCTGACGGGAGCCCGCGGCCGATAGCTGGATATACTTGTGCTTTAAGGCTGGTCTTCGGTCCCTTCACTGGTAAGACTTAGGGGATAGTATAGTTGGCCGCCTCCTTCGTAGTCTTCGACCCTAAAACCCAAGTACATAGACCCGGGTAAGTAGTGTGAGATAAAAAAGACTACTGAGAGAAGAAATTGAAGAATCTAGAGTAGTAATTGTGGCTGTCCCCCATGTGAGGAGAAGACAGCTTGCATTTAGTTTAAAAAAGAAAAAGAAGGGAAAAAATAAGAAAGGGTTGGTTTTGGACTACGATTTTTGAAACTTGATTCATTTGAATGAAATTCAATGCATTAACTAAGTGAGGCGTCTGGTTTGTTGGCCTGTATGCTGACCTGACCTGCACTATTCTGAACTTGTGCTCTGGATAAACTCCAGCAAAACCATCACTACTGTATGCGAGGGCTGCCACATCAGCGAGGTGCTTGTCTTCTAGCTCATTCGCCGGCAGAATGTTGGTGCCCATGCCTAACCGCCGAGCGGTCTCAACAGCAATAGCCCTTTGATCTCCTGTTATCATCTTCACCTGCAACACACAACCGAGTCGATGAGAGCAAGCACGGCAGACGACCAGTAACTACACCCAACTGTTTCTAAATGTTCCAAATTTGGGAGTTTACAAATTTGCTTCTAAAATTCTAAATTGTAGATGAGGATTGCTTTCTTCAAATAAAAAACAGGAAAAAAAAAGTGAGGGGCATCTCAGTACTGCCAAATATCAAAATACCCTCCTTTGAGTCCCTTTTTTTTTTTTTTTTTTAATGTGTCCCCCGAAAGACCACGGATCAGATATCAAAGTGATAAGAACAATCCCAGCTCACTTTGGCTTGTGGTGCCTTCTATTAAAAAAACAAGTCAGCAGAGGACAGGAGAGAAAACGAAGTCCACCGTGACACGCAGAGAGAGACAGGGAGAGACATGCACACACACACACACACACACAGAGAGAGAGAGAGAGAGAGAGAGAGAGAGAGAGAGAGAGAGAGAGAGAGAGAGAGAGAGAGAGAGAGA